ACTCTCCAATCAAAAGACAGAGAGCAACTGAATGGATTAAAAAAAAATAAGACCCAATGATCTATTTCCTATAAGAAACACACTTCACCTATAGAGACACACAGCAACTGAAAATAAAGGGATAGAAAAAGATATTTCATGCCAATGGAAACAAAGAGCGGGAGTTGTTATATCACATGAAATAGACTGCAAGACAAAAACTATAGAAAGAGACAAAGAAGGCCATTATATTAATGATAAATGAGTCTATTCAGCAAGAGGATATAGCAATTGTAGACGTATATGCACCTAACACTGGAGTGTTACTTAGCTGTAGTAAGTAAATATTACTAGAGCTAAGAGACAGACCCCAATATAATAATAGCTGGAGACTTCATCACCCCACTTTCAACATTGGACAGTTCATCCAGACAGATAATAAACACCAGACTTTATCTGCACTATAGACCAAATGGACCTAATAGATATTTACAAGACATTTCATCAAATGGCTGCAGTATACACATTCTTCTCCTCAGCACATGGATTATTTTCAAGGACATACCATATGTTAGGCCACAAAATAAGTCTTTAAAAATTACCCCAAAAATGAAGATATTAAGTACCTTCTGTTACCACAATGGAATAAAATTAGAAATCAACATCAAGAGGAATTTTGGAAACTATACAAACATATGGAAATTAAGTAATATGCTCCTGAATGACTAGTGGGTCTATAAAAAAGTTAAGAAGAAAATTAAAAATTTTCTTAAAATAAATGATAATGGAAATACAACATACTAGAACCTATGAGATATGATGAAAGCAGTACTAAGAGAAAAGACTATAGCTATAAGCACCAATGAAAAGGTAGAAAAACCTCAAATATACAACCCAACAATGCATCTTAACTAGAAAGGAAAAGCAGACCAAACCCAAAATCGCATGAAAAGAAATAAAGATCAGAGCAGAAATAAAATAAATCGAAACAAAGAAAGAGATCATTAGGATCATTAGAGACTACTGTGAGCAACTATATGCCAATAAATTGGAAAATCTAGGAGAAATGGTTAAATTAATAGATACATACAACCAACCAAGATTGACCTATGCAGAAACCCAAAACCTGAATAGACCAATAAGAAGTAAAAAATCAAAGCCATAATTAAAAAGTCTTCCAGCAAAGAAAAGCCCAGAATCTGATGGTTTCACTGCTAAATATTACCAAACATTTAAATAAGAACTAATGCCAATCCTACTCAAACTATTCTGAAAATTAGAGGAGTAGGGAATACTTCCAAACTCCTTCTATGAGGCCAGTATTACCCCGATATCCAAACGAGACAAAGACACACTATAAAAAGAAAACTGCAAGCCAATATTCCTGATAAGTATTGATGCAAAAATTCTCAACAAAATACTAGCAAACTGAATTCAACAACACTTTAAAAAGATCATTTATCATGACCAAGTGGGATTTATACCGGGGATGCAAGGATGGTTAACATACACAAATCAATTAATGTGATACATCATGTCCACAGAATGAAAGATGAAAAACATGATCATTTCAATTAATGCTGAAAAAGCATTTGATAAAATCCAACATCCTTCATGATTTAAAAAAAAAAAAGCCTGTAAAAACTGGGTATAGAAGGAACATACAATAAAACATACATATACAACAGACTCATGGCTAGTATCATTCTGAATGGGGAAAAAACTGAAAGCCTTTCCTCTTAAATCTGGAACACAACAAGGATGCCCACTTTCACCACCCATTTTGAACTCAAATAAGAAAATCACTTGAACTTGCTTTTTGTCTAACATCATTTCCATAGCAAGTAATAAGTTATTAGCAAAAAAATGCCCATTAAAACAACATACTATATTATTAAACATATTACTGGAATTCATAGCTAAAACAATCAGATAAGAGAAAGAAATTAAAGGCATCCAAACTGGAAAAGAAGAATTCAAGTTATCCTTCTTTGCTGATGATATGATCTTATATTTGGAAAAAAGATTCCACACAAAAAGACTATTAGAACTGATAAATTCAGAAAAGTTGCAGGATACAAAATCAACATACAAAAATCAATAGTAGCATTTCCATATGCCAACAGCAGACAGTCTGAGAAAGAAATCAAGAAAGTAATCCAATTTATAGTAACTATAAATAAAATAAAATACTAGGAATTAACCAAATAAGTGAAAGATCTCTGCAATGAAAACTATAAAACATTGATGAAACATAAAGGACACTAAAAAATTGAAGACCTTTCATGTTCATAGATTGAAAGAATCAATATATTAAAATGTCCATATTACCCAAAGCAATCTATAGATTCTATGCAATCCCTATCAAAATATCAAGGATATTCTTCACTGAAATAGAAAAACAATTCTGAAATTTATATGGAGCCACAAAAGACTCAGACTAGCCAAAGCTACATTGAGCAAAAAGAATAAAACTGGAGGAATTACATTACCTGACTTTGAATTATACTACAGAGTGACAGTAACCAAAAAAGTATGTTACTGGCATAAAAACAACAAGACACATAGACCAAAGTAACAGAATAAAGAACCCAGAAAAGAATTCATAGATCTACAGTGAATTCATTTTTGACAGAAGTTCCAAGTACATACACTATGAAAAGGACAATCTCTTCAATAAATGGTTCTGGGAAAACTGGATATCCCTATCCAGAATGAAACTAGACCCCGATCTCTCTCCATACAAAAATCCAATCAAAATGGAATAAGGACTTAAATCTAAGACCTCAAGCCATGAAACTACCACAAGAAAATATTGGAGAAACTTTCCACAACATTGGACTGGGAAAAGATTTCTTGAGTAATATCCCACAAGCCCAGGCAACCAAAGCAAAAATGGTCATATGAGATCACAACAAGTTATAAAGCTTTCACACAGCAAAGGAAACAGTCAGCAACGTGAAGAGACAACCCACAGAATAGGAGACAATATTTGCAAACTACCCATCTGGTAAGGGAGTAATAACCAGAATGTATAAGGACCTCAAACAACTGTGTAGGAAAAAATTCTAATAGTCTGCTTTAAAAATGGGCAAAAGGTCTGAATAGACATTTCTCAAAAGAAGACGTACAAATGGCAAACATGCATATGAAAAGGTGCTCAACATCATTGATCATCAGAGAAATGCAAATCAAAACTACAATGAAGTATCATCTCACTCCAGTTAAATGGCTTTTATACAAAAGACAAGCAATAACAAATGTTGGCAAGGATGTGGAGAAAAGGGAACCCTCATATATTGTTGGTAGGAATGTAAATTAGTACAACTACTATGGAGAACAGTTTGGAGGTTTCTGAAAAAAGCTAAAAATAGAGCTACCATACAATCCAGCAATCCTACTGCTGGGTATATACCCAAAGAAAGAAAATTGGTATATTGATGAAATATCTGCACTCCTATGTTTATTTCATCAGTATTCACAATAGCCAAGATTTAGAAGCAACCTAAATGTCCATCAGTAGATGAATAAATCAAGAAAATATAGTACACATATACAAGGGAGTACTGCCAGATCCAAAAAAGAATGAGATCCTGCCATTTGTAACAACATGGATGGAACTGGAGGTCATTATGTCAAGGGAAGTAAGCCAGACACAGAAAGACAAAGTTCACATGTTCTTACTAATTTTTGGGAGCTAAAAATCAAAACAATTGAACTCATGGAGATGGAAAGTAGAATGATGGTTACCAAAAGACTGGGAAGGGTAGTGGGGGAGATGGGAGATGGGGATGGTTAATGGGTACAAAAAATAGTTCAAGAGAATGAATAAGATCTAGTATTTGATAGCACGATAGGGAGACTATGGTCAAAATAATTTAATTCTGCATTTTAAAATAACTAAAAGAGTATAATCGAATTGTTTGTAACACAAAAGATAAATTCTTGATTAGATGGATACCCCATTTACCCTGATGTAATTATTATGTCAAATGCCTGTATCAAAATATCTAATGCACTCCAGAAATATATATACCCACTGTATACCCACAAAATTTTTTTTTTTAATTTAAAGAAAAGAATTTGAGGAGAGGACACAAATCAACCCATAAAATCATGCTTCTGGCAAAAAGGATATTTTTTGTATCAGTTTTGTGACACTGTAGGCAATCCAAAGAAGATGGCATGGTTCATGCCCCAGAGTGTTTTATGTCATCAGGAGAATCAGAAGTGTGGAAGGATGTGTGTATACCTGTGTGTATATGTGTGTGTGTGCATGTGTGAGTGCACATGCGTGAATTGATGAAGCTATAGAAAATCAAATAACTCTATCAAGTGTGATTGTAAATTAATAAAATGATTTCAAAAAGACACAGCTAGTATTCCATTGTTGGAGTGGGATGCTGAAGAGATGTTGGTTAAAGAAGAAATACATTCTAATGTTCAGTAGCAGAGTAGGGTGACTATTGTTAACAACAATGTATTGTATATTTCAAAATAACCAGAAGAGAGGACTTGAAATGTTCCCAGCCCAAAGAAATGGTAAATGCTCAAGGTGATGGGTACCTTAAGAACGCTGACTTGATCATTACACATCCTATGTATGTAAGAAAACATCACATGTACCCCATAAATATGTAGAAATATTGTGTATTACCAAAAAAGCACTGCTTAAAATTAATTTAGTACTTTGTAGCCATAATAGTTACTTGTCAGATGTTAAAAGCTAACTATAAAAGACTAGTCTAGAAGAACATCATGGTGTGAATTTTAAATACATTTTGAAGGAGGAAGACAATCCAGGTTTAGAAAGAAGAGAGCAGAGCTCCTCTGAGTTGATATGGGCCAGAGTGATTTCAGGAGGCAACGAATGAGCTTTGAAGTTTGAAAGAATCAGAATGCTACTATGATGAAATGTTGAGGCAGTGACTTGGACTTGTGTAAAGCTGCTTCATTTTTTCAACATATTTACAATTAAGCGATTGTAGAATATTGTCTTTCTTCACTGTCTTCTTCCTCAGACCTTTGCCCTATGAGGTGCTCACTCAGCTGATAGATGAAGCCAGTGAAGGTGATATGAGCATTTCAATCCTTACACAGGTGAGAAAAGAATTATAAAGCCTAATCTGGTGATTGATATTTTAAAGTTTGTTTTCAATTGATCTGGCAATTTTCAAAGACAACAAAATAGGCATTGTGAGATCTAGGCCATTTTTTTGTCTATGTCTACTCTGTGCAGGAAATAATGGTGTATCTTGCCATGTATATGCGAACCCAGCCTGGCCTCTTTGCTGAAATGTTTCGACTTCGAATTGGTCTAATCATACAAGTTATGGCAACAGAGCTGGCCCACTCCCTTCGATGTTCAGGTACTTAATTCAGTAACTATTTTAGGTAGAATCCACTTTTGATGTAGGTCTTTGGAGTTCAGAAGCTGGATATGGCAATCTTGTTCCCGTTAGTCACTATTTATACAAGTCAAGGAGCTGATAAGATGGCACATCAGTTCTGCAGCTTCAGAATGCCATCTCTTGGGGGTTCTTCACTCCAAATCCTTCTTATCACTCTTTGCTAACTTCATTTCTCTCACTCTGGAGAGTACTTGAGTGTAACAGACTGGTTGGGTTCAGATTTAGGCAGTGGAGCTTCTGTATACCAAGAATGAGTCACTACATCAGTGGATCATGGTGTCAGTATTCTGTCTAGTCACCATCATGATTCAATAAAGGAAAATGATGTTTTTATTAACATCTATCTGACAAGACTCTATTTGAAATTAAATATAGGTATATTTGGCAAGATAAAAGTTTTAGTTAGAAGAATGGTTGGGGCCTATAAAAGCTGTAAGGCAGAATAGTATAAAGTATGAAGGGGAAAAATAGACCCCTATGGCATGATTCCTTATTCCATTAGCATTTGTTTGACTTCAACAAGAATGGCAAAATAATACAGATAGGGATGGCACAGAAAAATAAAATCAAAATTGAAAAACTCAATTTTAGCCATTCTGTCTGTTAAATTTCTCCCAAAAGACTTTTAATCGAGCTGTTAACAAGTAGCTAAATTTATCAGTTTGAGTCAAACCTAACTCAAACACATGAGATAATTTATATTTAAATAACTCTTTGCTGGAAGAGAGTTAACAATTATTTTATACCTACCATATGACAAATACTGTGCTTTTTGCTTTACATTTACATAAATTGTGTCATTTAATCATTACAAGAACCCTCTGGAGAGGAAGGTATTATTGTGTCACTTTTACCAATAAAGAAACTGAAACTCAAGAAGGTTAACTAACTTCCCCAAAGTAACATAGCTAGTAAATAGTGGAATTTGAGTCCGAGTCTACCTGATTGCAAATGGTTCCCAGTTCAGTACACTGTTATATATAAACATTATAGAGTATTCTGTAGTTGTGGTATCAAGGGATGTTTTACAAGAGGATATGATTGCTCAATAATAAACCTTAATAAGGGATAAGCCCCTGAATGTTCACTTTTCCTTAATTGCCTGTTATATTTCTTATTTTCCTATGGATTCATGAAAACCACGGCTCTTTATTGCTTATAGGATAAAGTCAAGATCCCTGGGTCTGATATTTAATACCTGGCCTTTATCTTCTACTCCCACAATACTTCCCACTAACTTTGTCAGTCTTGGTCCTTGGAAATTGATGTCTCCATTGATTTCAAAGGCACTTATTGTCTGTACCTCTCATTTGGCACATAGTATATGCAATGTTTTATTGTTGTTTATCTTGTTTACATGTTCCATCACTCCCAAAGAGATAGATTCTCAAGGATAGGTATCATGTCATCATACCTACTTGTACTAATGTTACTTAAAATGATGACCTGCATGTAGACAACTTTTAATAATGTATGATGTTGATTAACAAGTTCAAGTTTATTGAACTTATATTCATAATTTCATGGATTCAGATCTATTCTAAGTCTCTATTATTTCCAGACTGAGAAGTTTTAATTATTTTAGTCTATCAGCATATGTACATTCATTGCTTTTCTCTGAATGGCCTCCATTTCCATGGTTCTTCTTTCATTCTTCCCACCTTCAAATAAAGATTTTACTAAGTACCCTAATGGTGTGGAGGGGTTGTGAAGAAGAAATCAATTACCTGGCTAATCCACAAACTGGATAGTCAGTCCTTAAATAATTAAAAATCTATGGCAGTAAGAATACCTAAGCAGTAGGGTGCTACCAATTTATTTTGTAATTCTGTTCTTCCAATCAAGTGACTCAGAAATTCTAAGCAAGAAATCAAATAGAGAAAATATAGAGAGGGCATGGCAGGCAAATTAGAACTCCTTCTGTTCTAACATTTCTGCTGACTAGCTGAGGAAGCCATGGAGGGCCTGATGAATCTCAGTCCTTCAGCCATGAAGAATCTCCTGCATCACATTCTCAGTGGCAAGGAGTTTGGAGTGGAACGAAGTGGTGAGATTGAATAACCGCATTTTCATTTCATACTGTTCTAAGTGTCTCGTTGGTTTTAAAATGTTTTTCCTTCATCACGGAAACCTTTTGCCCCAAATAAATAAACTCAAATATATAAAACAGAAACCAGCTGGGTGCGATGGCTCACACCTGTAATCCCACCACTTTGGGAGGCTGAGGCGGGCGGATTACCTGAGGGCGGGAGTTCAAGACCAGCCTGACCAACATGGAGAAACCACATCTTTAAAAAAAATTAAAATTAAAATTAAAAATTAAAAAAAAAAAGAAACCAAGCTGTCTTCTGGAACAAGATTTGGAAACCACTATATTTTTCCTTAAATGATATATCAATTAAGTGGATTGACTGCTATCATCTTTCTTTTCTTTTCTTTTCTTTTCTTTTCTTTTCTTTTCTTTTCTTTTCTTTTCTTTTTTGTGATGGAGCCTCACTCTGTCGCGAAGCTGGAGTGCAGTGGCGCGATCTCAGCTCGCTGCAACCTCTGCCTCCCAGTTCAAGCTATTCTCATGCTTCAGCCTCCCAAGTAGCTGGGATTACAGGCACACACCACCACACCCAGCAAATTTTGTATTTTTAGTAGAGATGGGGTTTCACCATGTTGGCCAGGATGGTCTCAATCTCCTGACCTTGTGATGCACCTGCCTCAGCCTCCCAAAGTGCTGGGATTACAGGTGTGAGCCACCACACCCGGCCCATGTTTCATTTTTAACTGTTTTATTGATTTCCTTACATTATCCTATGTCTCCACTTTAGGACAACTAGCAACCCATATCATCTGAAACTTTCTTGTATTCTAATTGCAAATAATTCAGTAGTTCTTACAGTGTTGTATTATGTGTGTATGTGTGTAGCTGCTTACGGTACATCTAATGTACCCCATTCAATTTTAAACTTACAAATTAATAGTCCACCTGCATTTGTGGTTTTGGTTTGATTTGGCATTGCATACCGAAAGCAGCAAAGCAAATGAGAAGCAGTCATCTCCCGTGCTCAACTTTCAGGGTTAGGGTAAATAGATATACAGTCAGATGGATGGGTGTCAGACCTTAGAGTGCTAAAACAAAGTTAAAAAGCAGTGTATTTCAAGCTGAGGATCTTGCTAAAATGCAGATTCTGATTCAGTAGCTCTGCAGTGGGACCTGAGATTCTACTAATGGGTTCCTAGATGGTACTGATGCTGCTGGTCCATGGACCACATTTCAAATAGTGAGGTTATAGTTTTTAAATTAATTTAAGCAAGGGGAGAGATGCCAGATGTAGGTGATGGGGAGGAAGGCAGCAAATCACACTGCCCCGTGTGTACCTATGCAATAATCTTGCATGTTCTTCACATGTACCCCAAAACCTAAAATGCAATAAAATAAATAAATGGGAAAAAATTAATTAATTTAAAAACAAGGATATATATCAAAGTTTTTTTAAACATGATGGGGAAGAAATGGAACCTTATTATCCTCTCTCTTTCTCTTTAATCTCTTGTATTATATAGTTCGTCCCACTGATTCAAATGTCAGTCCTGCTATTTCTATCCATGAGATTGGTGCTGTTGGAGCAACCAAAACAGAACGAACTGGGATCATGCAGTTAAAAAGTGAGATAAAGCAGGTAAGCTACTACTTGGGACATTAGCTGGGATATTGCCGTGTTTAAGAACATTCTTTTGGAATCAGACTTTGTTGGGTCATTTATTTTGTTTCACACCCTGAGTTTAATTTGAGCCATTTATTTTTCAGGTGGAATTTCATAGACTGTCAATCTCAGCTGAGAGTCAGGTGATGAAACAACTAGGGATTATTTAACATGGTTTAACTTACCTTTAGTTCTATATAACCTGCATGAGTTCATGGCTTTTTTACAAATAATATAACAAGTCATGGAGTAGATTGTTTGAATTGCCTTTATAATAGTCATTTTGCATATAGCTTTCCTTTTTCTGGACCAAACTACTTTGCTAATTTTAGAAGGAAAGTAACTTGTATCTGATAACAAGAAATTGAAACCCTGAGTTTCTCTTATTAAGAATGATGTGGTTTTGGAATTAATTTTCTTTGTAAAACTAGATTGACTTCAAGCAAAAAGTCTTTGCTTGGCCAAACTTTAGGTGAGCTTCTGAACCTTTTCCTAGGCCCATTTGTGCACTTCCTTGTAAAATCCAGTTTTAGGAAGAGAACCCTGCTAAGTCAGTTTAGCCAGAAATCCCTATCCTTGATATCTGATCATCCTTCACATCTGATCAGGCTCCTCATCTTCTATCACCCCTAGGTGACATCCAATCACCCTGGCCTGTCTTCAACAAGAATCCTTTTAGGATGGTTTAGTCAGAATCCCTACCTCTGATGTTTCCTCTTAGTAATTTTCCATCCCTTATCCATAAATTCCCAGTTGCTTATGTTGTATTTGGAGGGGAGCCCAATCTCTCTCCCTTACTGCAAGACCTCATTGCAATGGTTCCTGTACTTACTAACAGTGGTCCTGAATAAAGTCTTCCTTACCATGCTGTAACAAGTATCATTGAATATTTTTTTTCTTTAACAAGATATGCAAAAGGTGTTGTGGACACATAGAGGGAGAAACATCTAAATCAGTCTGGGAGATACTGGAATTCACTAAGTACCATGTTTGTAGCCTCTTAATTTTTCCTGCAGGTGAGAATAGAGTGGTTACATTATACAAAGAAATAGTTAACATAAGCTTCCATAGCTTGTTTTTAAAACTCTAGGAAGTAATGTGGTTTCAAGATCTCCAAGTTGAGAAAATACTGATTTGGCCTCTTAGAAACACATTTTATGAAAAGCTTAAAACTACTCCTCCTGCTTTCAGAATAGAATTATGATAGCTTACAGTATTGAAGCCTCTGGAAGAGGAGAGGTGAAATGGAAATTTGGAGTTTTATTTTTGGTTTTAGTTTTTTAGCACTGGGGTTTCACTATGTTGTCCAGGCTGGAGTGCAGTGGCTATTCACAGGCACAAAATCCTGGATTCATGCAATCCTTCTACCTCAGTCTCCTCAGTGGGTGGGACTAAGGCATGTCACCACCTTGCTATTTGTTTTCTTTTTTAAAGGAATTAGAAACCATTTAGAAGGACAGTGAGCCAACGCTTGAAGCTTGATTTGAAGTAGCTTGAGTACACTCATCAAATACCCTATGGCATTTATATTTATGCAAGAATAAGTATGGCACTCATCGAATTATCCTGCAGCTCTTGGGATTCCAGTGGCTTTCTTCATTGTTGGAGCCAGGCCTACATGCCAGCAACCATGTCGAAGGGTCCTGCCGTTCGTATTGATCTTGGCACCACCTACTCTTGTATGGGTGTTTTCTGGCATGGGAAAGTAGAAATAATTGCTTTGTGTGTGATCAGGGAAACTGAATCATTCCAAGCTATGTTGCCTTTACAGACACTGAACTATTGATTGGTATTGCCACAAAGAATCAAGTTGCAATGAACCCCACCAACACGGTTTTTGATGCCAAACATCTGATTGGACACAGATTCGATGATGTTGTTGTCCAGTCTGATATGAAGCATTGGCCCTTCATGGTGGTGAATGATGCTGGCAGGCCCAAGGTCCAAGTAGAATACAACAGAGAGACCAAAAGCTTCTATCCAGAGGAGGTATCCTCTATGGTTCTGACAAAGGTGAAGGAAATTGCAGAAGCCTACCTTGGAAGACTGTTACCAATGCTGTGGTCACAGTGCCAGCTTATTTTAATAACTCTCACGGTCAGGCTAGCAAAGATGCTGGAACTATTGCTGGTCTCAATGTACTTAGAATCATTAATAAGCCAAATGCTGCTGCTATTGCCTACAGCTTAGACAAAAAGGTTGGAACAGAAAGAAATGTGTTAATCTTTGACCTGGGAGGCGGCACTTTTGATGTGTCAATCCTCACTATTGGGGATGGAATCTTTGAGGTGAAGCCTACAGCCGGAGACACCTACTTGGGTGGAGAAGATTTTAATAACCAAATGATCAACCATTTTATTGCTGAGTTCAAGCACAAGCATAAGAAGGACATAAGTGAGAACAAGAGAGCAGTAAGACACCTCCATACTGCTTGTGAGTGTGCTCAGTGTACTCTCTCTTCCAGCACCCAGGCCAATATTGAGATCAATTCTCTCTAGGAAGGAATCGACTTCTGTACCTCCATTACCCATACCCAATTTGAAAAATTGAATGCTGACCTGTTCCATGGCACCCTAGACTCCAAAGAGAAGGCCCTTCAAGATGCCAAACTAGACAAGTCACAGATTCATGATACTGTCCTGGTTGGTGGTTCTACTCACATCCCCAAGATTCAGAAGACTCTCCAAGACTTCTTCAATGGAAAAGAACTGAATAAGAGCATCAACCCTGATGAAGCTGTTACTTATGGTGCAGCTGTCCGGGCCACCATCCTGTCTGGAGACAAGTCTGAAAATGTTCAAGATTTGCTGCTTTTGATGTCACTCCTCTTTCCCTTGGTATTGAAACTGCTGGTGGAGTAATGACTGTCCTCCTCAAGTGTAATACTACCATTCCTACCAAGCAGACACAGACCTTCACTAGCTATTCTGACAACCAGCCTGGTGTGCTTATTCAGGTTTATGAAGGTGAGCGTGCCATGACCAAGGATAACAACCTGCCTGGCAAGCTTGAACTCACAGGCATACCTCCTGCGCCCCAATGTGTTCCTCAGATTGAAGTCACTTTTGACATTGATGCCAATGGCATCCTCAATATGTCTGCTGTGGACGAGAGTACAGGAAAAGAGAACAAGATTACTATCACTAATGACAAGGGCTGTTTGAGCAAGGAAGACATTGAACGTATGGTCCAGGAAGCTGAGAAGTACAAAGCTGAAGATGAGAAGCAGAGGGACAAAGTATCATCTAAGAGTTCACTTGAGTCCTGTGCATTCAACATGAAAGCAACTGTCAAAGATGAGAAACTTCAATGCAAGATTAACGATGAGGACAAACAGAAGATTCTGGACAAGTGTAATGAAATTATCAGCTGGCTCAGTAAGAATCAGACTGCTGAGAAGGAAGAATTTGAACATCAGCAGAAAGAGCTGGAGGAAGTCTGCAACCCCATCATCACCAAGCTGTACCAGAGTGCAGGAGGCATGCCAGGAGGAATGCCTGGGGATTCCCTGGTGGTGGAGCTCCTCCCTCTGGTGGTGCTTCCTCAGGGCCCACCATTGAAGAGGTTGATTAAGCCAACCCAAGTATAGATGTAGCATTGTTCCACACATGTAAAACACTGAAGGACCTAAATTTGTAGCAAATTCTGTGGCAGTTTTAAAAAGTTCAGCTGCTATAGTAAGTTACTGGGCATTCTCAATACTTGAATATGGAACATATGCACATGGGAAGGAAATAACATTGCACTTTATAAACACTGTATTGTAAGTGGAAAATGCAATGTCTTAAATAAAACTATTTAAAATTGGCACACAGAAAAAGAGTAAGTACGGCAGTAGAATAAGAAAGAGTCTTGTGTTCACTTTACAGTTTTCTCAAATAATTTGAATAATATGAACATTTTCCTATTTGAAAGGTGAAAGAACTACATTCAGTACTGAATAGTTAATTATACTGGCATTATTAGTAAATAATCTTTGATTTGGTTGAGAGTTATTGGATAAACATTTTATAATGGTTGATAGTCAGCCAATATTACTTATAAGTTCATTATATATTTACAACTTGAAGTGCATGTTCCAAGCTAGATTAATATAATGTTGAGACTTGACCTACCCAGCTACATCATTTATGTTTTTTCTACGCGTTCACTACCTATAGGTTTTCAAGGGAGCCAAAATCACTAGGACTGTAATTTAGAGGATTGAGAGCCCTAAATTTGCATTACTTTCTTATTTCTAAATATTAACTTTCATACTCACCTGCCTGTCTGGTATTTTGTATTGTTCTAAGCCATTTTTTGCCTGTCACTCAAGAATGCCCTCTTTTCTGATTATGGGGAAAAAAACATTTTTAAGGTATATTTATTTCATTTCCCCTCACCATGGCTTCTAGAGTAAAGCTGTTTCATCAGCTTTTTAATGACAATGTGCTGACTACTTACTGAAATAGTCTGTATTTGTACTCTACTAATAACTTTTAAAAATACAAGTAATTGTTGCCTTGCCTCACGTCTTTTAAGTTTTTATTTCTCAATTTTTTCTCATAGTCCAACGGTGGTCATGCCCTGGGTATAGATTTGATGTCACCGTCTTTTCTGGTAACTGCTGTTATATTCTCATATATGCCATTCACATGTGCTTTGAATAAGCTCTTGTATAAATCATGATATATACTGGTTGACTAAAAAAAAATTAATCAAGAATTAAAATAAGTATAAAGCAATTTCATATATGGGGGTGAATCTTTTCATTTATTTCCCAAGAAGTTAGAGAAGGGAGTTCAACTCCAACCTCTTTTTCACTTCAGAAAACAAAATTCAATTTACTGAGTATTGGTTAAGTATATGTTTATTCATTTATTCTTTCAGCTAATACAATTCATTACATACCTACTGTGCACCAGGTATTATACAGCATCAACTGGAAACTTATTCAAAGTGCAAATTCTTGGTCCCACCCTAAGCTTACTGAGTCAGAAAGACTGGGGATAAGGCCCAGCAATCTGTTTTATTTATATGATTCTGATGCATTTTTAAGTTGGAAAACCACTGGGTTAGCTATTCTTCTGATTATAAATTCATTTAGCAAAAATTGAGTGTCAGTTTTGTGCCAGGCACTATGAACAAAACAGATGTGGTCCTTACCGTCATAAAGCTTACAGTTTAGGAAGACTGACCTCTAGTTAAATTTATTTGGTTTAAATCAAAGACTCATAATGGCCTATGAGTTCAGATCTCTCAAGCTGAAGAGATTTAGGCTAGACAATAACCAAACAAAAAATAGAAACTATTGGAAACAATATTAGTATTTTGGTTAACCATAATCAAATATCCTGTAATGAACTAAGACTTCTCCAACTCTGTCATATCCACATTAACATAGGACAAGGGTATAGAAGAAAATTTAAAAACTCAAAATGATTGATATTTGGCTTTGGAAAACAGTCTGAATTGTACTTTATCAGAGATCTATACCCTTTCTGGTTTGACCTCACAATCAACAGCCTAGGATCTTGGTGGTATAAACAAGACAATGAAGATAAATTAAATGGCAGTTCATCTACTCAACAAATCAGTGTGATAGTCACTTGCCAATAAAAGTGTTTAGGGGCTCCTTTCTCTCAACCATTGCACTGGTTGGTGATTTAGGCATTTGACCCAAATTAAGATGTGAAAAGTTCTTTTCTCAGAAAATATTTCTATTATCTTCTATCTTATATTTATTTCTCAATTTAAACTGTTAACCACTTTGCCCAGTGTATTTTATCCTTTACTTAGTATAATTTTTTCAAAGTTCATTATGTTTTAGCATGTATCAAAAGTTTTTTTTTTCATTGCTGAATAATATCCTATTAAATTAATGTACCATATTTTTTATCCATTCATCAGTTGATGGACACCTAGATTGTTTCCACTTTTTGGCTACTATGAATAATTCTACAATGAACCTTCATGTACAAGTTTTTGTATGGAAAAAATGTTTTCACTTCTCTTGGATATATATCTATGAGTGGAAGTGCTGGGTAATATGGTAACTATGTTTCTCACTCTGAAGAACTCCCAGACATTTCCAAAGGGGCTGCACCATTTTACATTTCCACCAGTAATGTATGAGAGTCCCAATTTCTTCACATCTTTGCCAACCCTTACAATTGTCTATCTATCTTTTTTATTATAGCCATCCTAGTGGGTGTGAACTGGTATCTCATTGTGGTTTTGATTTGCATTTCCCTAGTAGATAATAATAAGTGTCTTTTCTTCTACCCAGTGGCCATTTGTTTATCTTCTTTAGAGAAATATCAATTAATATTGGTGCCTATTTTATTTTTTTTTGTCTTTTTATTGTTGAGTTGCAAGGATTCTTTATATATTCTGGATACAAGTCCCTTTTAAGATATGTAATTTGCAAATATTTTCTCCCATCCTTTGGGTTATCTTTTCACTCTCTTAATGGTATTCTTTGAACAACAAAAGTTTTAAATTTTGACAAGGTCCAGTTTGTCTATTTTTTCTGTTGTTACTCATGATGTTTTGGGTATCATATCTAAGAAGGCTTTGCCTAACCCAAGGTCACAAAGATTTATCCTATTTTTTGTTCTAAGGGTTTTATATAGTTAGCTGTCATATTTAGGTCTATGATTATGTTTGGAGGGGTCCCCAAGATCACCCTCAAATTTAATGATTCACTAGGATGACTCATAAGACAGCATGTAGTCATACTCAACTGCTCAGTTTATAGCAGCAAAAGGATACAAGATGCATTGGGCACAGTGTAACTAGAGTCAACAATAATTTATTGTACATTTTAAAATAACAGAAAGTATAATTGGGTTGTTTATAACAAAAAGAAATGATAAATGCTTGAGATAATGGATACCCTATTTACCCTGATATGATTATTATGCATTCTATGCCTGTTTTAAAATGTCTCATATACCTCATTATTAATTTTTTTTAAGATGCATTGGTCAAAGTCTAGGGGAAACAGATACAAGCTTCAAGAGTATTGTCTCAGTGGAGTCACACTTCACTGAGCTGTGACAAGATGTTTGAAATATTGCCAACCAGGGAAGCTCATTAAAGACAGCACCCATTGTTCTTGTTGATGGCTGGTCACGTAAACAGCCTCTGTCTAGAATGTACCAAAACTCTGGACTCCCAGAAAGAAAGCAGACATTCAACATAAACCATAGTGTTTGTACAGTTTAGGCATGGTAAGCCACTGTTACTAATTCTTGGAATGGTGAGAACTCTCCCAAAATCCAAGTTTCTAAATGCCAGCCAAGGGCCAACCTTGTAAGCAAGCCTTCCAACGATAGCAGTTCTGGCCTACTACCTTAACTCTTTTCTGCATAATGGTGTTAATTTTTGTATGTAGTATAAGGTAGACAGTTCAACTTCATTCTTTTGCATGTGAATGTCACTGTTCCAGCACCATTTGTTGAAAAGGTGATATTTTTCCCTCATTTAAGTCTCTTAGCATCCTTGTTGAAAATTAATTGACCAAAATATAATGGTTTATTTCTGAACTCCCAATTCTATTCCATCAATCTACATGTCTATCCTATACCAATAGGACACAGTTTTGATAGTTTTGTACTTTTGATAGTGTTAGAGTAAATTTTGAAATCAGGAAGTACAGGTTCTCCAACTTCAGTCTTTTTTTTAATATGAATGTTAGGATCAGCTTGTCAATTTCTGCAAAAATCTCAGCTGGTATGTTGATAGAGATTGTGTTTAGTCTGTAGATCAGTTTTTGGAATATTGCCATCTTAACAATGTTAAGTCTTCTGATCCATGAACATGGGAATGTATTTCAATTTATTTAGGTCTTAATTTCTTTCAACGTGTTGCATAGTTTTCAGAGTATTTATTTTGGACTTCTTTTGTTAAATTTATTCCTACATATTTTATTCTTCTTGATGCTATTTTAAATGGAATTGTTTTCTTAATTTTAACATTGTAGATTGCTACTGTTCACAAATACAATTGGTTTTTTATTATAGTGAGACATTTAACATGGGACCTACCCTTTAAAAAAATTTTAAGTGTACAATACAGTATCATTAACTCTAGGCTTGATGTCGTACAGTAGATCTCTAGACGGTATTCTTTTTTTTTTCTTTTTTTTTTTTGTGACGGAGTCTCACTCTGTTGGCAGGCTGGAGTGTAGTGGCGCAATCTCAGCTCACCTCTGCCTCCCGGATTCAAATGATTCTTCTGACTCAGCCTCTAGAGTAGCTGGAATTACAGGCATGCACCACCATGCCCAGCTAATTTTTTTGTATTTTTAGTAGAAACGGGGTTTCACCATTTTGGCCAGGATGGTCTCGATCTCTTGACCTTGTGATCCACCCACCTCAGCCTCCCAAAGTGCTGGGATGACAGGCATGAGTCACTGCACCCGGCCTCATCTTACATAACTGCAGCTTTATACCCATTGAATAGCAAGTTCCCGTTTCCCCATCTACCCAGCCCCTGACAACTACCGTTCTACTCTCTGTATGAGTTTGGCTGTTTCAGATACATTACATAACTGGAATCGTACAGTTTGTTCTTCTGTGACTGGCTTATTTCGCATAGTATAGTGTCCTCCAGGTTCACCCACATTGTCATACTTTGCAAAATTTCATTCTTTTTTAGAGGCCGTATAATAGTCCATTTTATGTATTATACCACATTTTCTTTTGCCATTCAGTTGTTGATAGACATTTAGGTTTTTTTTCATATCTTGACTATTTTGAATAATGCTGCATTGAACATGGGCATGCAAACATCTCTTCAGGATCCTGATTTCAATTCTTTTGGATA